AATTATGGGTTTTAGGTTCATTTTAATCCTAAAACCCATTAGAGCCTATTTTAGAGAGAGAAAACCCCAAAAAACTAGTTTTTGGTGGATTTCCATAAGATCGAAGGGTTTCTCAAAATTACAAGAAACTGATCTATGCATCACCCATTGTTATTAGATTTAGTTTTGGATCTTTTATATATCTATTAGAGGGTTTTGTAGAAGTTTTAGAAGATTTTGAGTCTTTAAAATCTTTGAGTAATTGGATATGAACTTGTGGTTATGGAGTATGGAGGAGTGTGTGCTATGTGGATTGTGTACTATACATTTGATGTGCCCTAAATCTCTAGTTCTTATGTGTTGTACAATTATACTTATATTGTTAGACTATTGAGACATTTTTCTTTTTACTGGGCTGTTTAGGTTCTGGGTGCTCGCCTAGGAGTTGGGCGGCCTGGACCCCCCCGGTCGCCTTGCACTTTTTGAAACATTGGTGGTATTTATTGCATGACTATATAGTCCTGATTTTGGAACGTCCAACATCGAACTGGCATTGCCCTTAAATTAATGCTGGAATTTTGTCCTTTCAAGGCCTTAAATTCAGACATTTTTATGGCTCTTAACTTTAGTGGGTGTAAAAGAGCTATATGATTCTAGGATCTTGGCTCACTGAGACTAAGAGTCATGGAACTGCGATTTAGCTATGAGGAGGATTTATATGCATGGGAGGTATTGCGAGGGTTGACGGTTGCTTCTTAGTGAGGGTCGGTTGTTATGTTTGTGCCTCATGAATGAGTGATGGGCCAGGGCGATGTGATTTATGTGTTTATATGAACTTGATGACAATGTAGCCTTGTATGGGAAGGTTAGGGCCAATAGAGGACATTGGACTAAATCCTTGACTCTTAGAACCTTCTCGTAGCATGTGCACATATAGTCGCAATGCATAGGAAGCCGCTGTTCCAGGGATCAACTGGTTAGAGGTATGCACATGTGCTAAGAGAGGAACCCCTGCACCATGTGTGTGCATGTCCTTTAGCGGGTGCACTTGAAATCCACTTCTATTTTGGGATTTAGGGTCACATATTGGTTTGACTTTAGTATGTTGAGATAATGAGCCCCTGATTATACACTGAGGGTCATGAGTGGGTCATACTAGGAAGATGGCTATGGATTCCAAATTTAGCCGAGTGGAATACTCCAATTCGTGATTCAACTCCAAGGATCTTAATTTCCCTTGGAAATGTTTTTAAACAATGCCAAAATGATTTACTTTGACGGATAATCATTAAGGTGATTTTTGTGGATTTGTGAGAATCTTTTCGGATTTTTCTGGGCCAGAAAATATGTTTTTGGGAATTATTAGGAAGAAATGACAAACAAAGACATTCCCCCAGGACCTATATGGGCCATCCAAATGGCCAATGGGTGTCCACGTGGTGGCTTGGGGGGTCCCTTGTCACCTCCTCATGAGACTCCCATGTCATATTGTTGTTTGTTGTTTTAATTTGTGGTATTTTGTGAAATATGAGATTTTGGAAAAAATATTTTTAGCACATGTCTAATGCCTAGGTTTGTGCACATGTGTGGAGGATTGTGGAAGAGTTATAGGGTTTGTAATTACAAGCCTAACCCTAATGGCATACGGTAAATGTGCAATTAACCACCTAGCTTATGTGGCATGATGTCATTAGCTTCTACATGCTCTTATAAAATGGAAGGAACTTTTGAGATTTGCTTTTGGCTATGATATTTTGAAATTACCATAAAGGTACATACCCTCCATCTTGGTTTTAGTTTTATTGAATATAAAGAGCATGAGTAGTTTAATAATGAGGGAAATTTGAGTGAATTAAAGGAGGATAATGATGCTTAAATCCATATCACACATCTTGATGACATGATTGTGGATGGTGGGCTAGGATCAAGCTTCTCTTTATAGCCATTGGAAGATGGCATGAGGCTAAGATCCATCAATCTAGATGCATCTCCACACTTTAGGGTTAGAAGCTTATAAATAACCCCTTGAGCCTTGATTTCACATATGAGTTCACAAACACACGCACTCTCTGTCTAAATGTGTGGCATGCTCATAGCAAGTTTCCTCTTCCTTTCTTTCTCTAAATAGCTACCTTCAAATTAAGGTGAGAGAGAGCTCCATTAAAGGTTTTATATTTCTTCAAGCCTTGAACAATTGAGTAAGATCTCTTTCTTTTTCATTGATCCATATAGTTTCTCCTTGCGGTAAATTTTCAATTACAGCAACATCTCTTTATCCTTTGTGAATAGATCTTTGATCCTTTGAATCATCTTTGATCTCCCTTGATCCATATAATTAAAGACATCATCTATGCATATTTTGATCTAGTTTCCATAAGCTTTCCTCTTTGATATTTGGAGTTATTTTGACTGATATTTCTCTAAGATTTTGATGATCATATCAGTCACTTAGATCTTCATTTTGATCCCTTGAATTGTAGGTTTTATAGGAGGAGACTATGCCCAAATTTTGTGGACCGAATTGTGAACTCAATTGAAACGGTTCTGTGTTTTAAGAGCCCGTTTTTCTCCCACGTTTTTCCCACTTGATTTGATCTCTAGATATTTGTAAATCTTTCCATGTTTTAAGTGTGTATCAATAGATGCTTGGCTTCCCACTTGATAGATGATGGATTGGCCCGATTTTGAGCTATGCCATCTCATGTCACCCAATGGCATATAGCTAAAATCCAAAGTTGTAAACCAGGGCACTCAAGAGTTCCAATTGGCTTCCCATGGTCGTGATGCATTGCACACTTGAGCATTTGTATGTTGATGTAATGGAGATCATGTTGTGATGAGTTTTATGAGTTCATTGATGTATAATTTTTCCTTGTAAATTTGAGTGGAAAGAAAAGAGTCTCTATACACTACATCGACTTGGTGAGAGATATGTACGATCTCTTACTAGTGTACGAACAATTAGTGGTGAGACGAGTGAGTTTTCAGTGACAATAGGTTTACATCAGCCTCTTTGTTTTAGTTATGGACGACTTAGCTAGGCACCTACAAGATGAGGTACCATGGTGCATGTTCGCAAATGACGGTTTTTATCGATGAGAACCAAAACAATGTTAACACAAAGTCAGAAGTTTGGATGGATGCACTAGAATCTAAAGGTTTCAAAATTAGCTGGATTAAGAGAAAGTAAATGGAATGCAATTTTAGTAACAATAGGAGTAGAAACGATGAAATAGTTAAGATTGATGCCGATGAATCACCAAAAAGATCGCACTTTCGATATCTTGAGTTGATAACCATGAAAATAAAGAGATTGAGGAAGATGGGGCACATAGAATTGGAGCTGGGTAGGTGAAGTGGAGATGTGCAACTGGAATTTTATGTGATTGTCGTGTACCAATGAAGCTGAAGGGCAAGTTTTATAGGACAGCTGTGGGACTAACTTTGCTTTATGGGGCGGAATGTTGGGCGGTCAAAAAGCAATATACCCATAGAATGAGTGTAGCAGAGATGAAGATGTTGAGATGGATGAGTTGCAAGACAAGAAGAGATAGAATTCGAAATGAATTCATTCAGAGAAATTACGTATGGCGCCAATAGACGAGAAGATTAGAGAGAGTTGATTTAAGTAGACTGGTGATTTGTGGCGCAGACCTAGTATAGCACTTGTTAGGATGCGCGAGTTAGTTCAAGTGGAAGGCTAAAAAATGGGCAAGGGGTTGGTCAACAGGACATGGTTGGAAGTAGTGAGAAAAGATATGGGGGAATATGGTCTCACTGAGGGTATGGCTCTTAATAGAGCAAAATAGCGGATCAGGATTCGTGTAGCCGACCCCAATTTATTTGGGAAAAGGCTATGTTGATGATGAAATTTGAATAGTGTAGAATTTTCAAATGCACACTATACATATGTAGTTTGATGATCTCCTTTTGTGGCTTGCTTTGTTCATGTGTAAGGGACCCTAATTGAGTTGTATCCTTTCATTTGAGTGTATTTTGAAGTCAATTGCTCACATTAGTTGCAGTGACCTTGTTGTAATTTGATTTTGCAAGTTGTTTTTTCAAGCGTATTAAAACAATTCGTGCTGTATTGTCTTGTATTTTGTCTACATTGTAGCCCAAGTCAAGAGAATTTGTTCTATACACACCAAATCGGTGGTACATCATGAGTTAAAAAACTGTCAACATAGGTGTTTAAAGTTATCTATCTTGTTGTATTTTACTTTAGAGCTTAAGAAGCTCACGTCAATAATGATCTGTATCTAGTGGTTTAAGTGTCGTACTTAATGATATTCCTAAAATAAGGTTTCTGTTTTCTGCAAATTCTTTGCCATATATATATATATATAGATGTTTCAAGAAGAGGAGTTCTACAAATTATCTGATGCTGCAGTTTGCAACAATGGAGCCTTTTTTAAATTTCCTTTTATCATGGTTTAAGGTTGAGTCAACCGGTTATTCTTGGAACTCCTTTCCTAAATATGCTTTACCCAATCGAAATTGATGATACAGGAATTGAGGCTAACATTGAAGGACATGAGGTAAAATTTACCTTTATAGATAAGCCCCGTGTTCATGAAATAAATAATATTAAGAATAAAATCTCTACAAAGGAGAAATTCCTCCATTATCTAAAAGAAGAAATTAAGTACAAGACCATTGAGGAAAAAATGTTATCTCCAGAATTACAACATAAAATTAGTACTT